TATCAATCATGCACTATGTATAATATCAAGATAATTATGAATATGGTTGACATAAAACTTAATCATAAGTACTTAACATTTTCAAATACGTGAAATTAAACTATCTGTAATCTATGTAAGCAACCTAAACAAAAGTATGTAAACCATGCCATCACATATTGAATCAAAGATAAAGCAACTTCATATATTTATTTCCCTCATTCCCTTGTTACTAATGTAAGCTTACATACTTGACTCAAAATTAATAGGTCTTTATTAGCTTATAATGTAAGGCTTGGGTTAGGTTAGGAAAAAGGAAATTTTAGGCTTAGAACACTTTGTTTACTTAAACTTGGACTTGAGAACTTTGACAAGGTTTGAGGTAGTTTTTTTTTTTTCCTTTCATATAAACATTTTCAACTTTTCTTTTTTTTATTTTTATTTTTTCTTCCTTGCACCTCCCTACCTCCCTAATATGATTTGTTCTCTTATCTTGTCTCTAACATGCATAAGCAATATGGGTAACACAAGAAAAAGAGGTAATCAGTAGAAAAAGGCTTGGGCTTATTTGATATGGGTCAATAAACAAGAAAAAAGATTTATTAGGCTCAAAATAAAGCTACTAAAGATGCTTTATTCATAGTGGGCTTGAAAAAGGCTTAAACGGTCTAAAGATGGCCTAAATCATTTCTTGAGTTAAATATAGCCTAGGATTTTGCCTCAAGGATGAGTAACCAAATTTTAAAGTCACACTTATGCCTTTATTCTATATACAATTTCAAGTTACATAACTTTTCACAAATATTCATGCATGTCAAAGATCAAAAAAATAATTCACAATATAATAACTAGCATACTTATGATTTCATTTCATGTTTTTCCCATGCTCATACTTGTCTTAAGATCCTACATAGGTCACTTTTATGAATACTTGTAAAAGTTCAACTAAGATTGCAATATGATGAGCAAAAACATAACAACTTGGTTTGAAAATAAAGATTTTAGGGTAGTCTTTTGAAAATTGTTGAAAACTATTTTAGCATAAAAGTTTTCCCTCCCTTACATTTGAATTATGTAGCATTTCAATTGAAATAGTTAAGAATTTGAGGTAAAGGAAAGCTCACATGTCCTTTTTTCTTGAGGCCAAATAGTTTGGGTTCCATTATTCATCCTTTCTCCTTTTTTATTCCTAAAACAAAACAAAACAAAACAAAACAAACAAGACAAAGATCAAGGTAATTGTTCTAATAAAATAAAGAAAGCAAATAACAAAAGTATCTTTAAAATGGAAATAAAACTTAGGTTGCCTCCTAAGCAACGCTAGTTTTGGTAAGGCTAGACCAAACTTAAAGATATAAAAAGTTACGTAATTACTTTACACTTTACACCAGCATCCATCCATTTAATAGTCTTTTTGCTTACCACATGTTCAATAATAAATTCTAAGTGGTGATGCTCAATGATTGTGGTGCAAATGGATGTATATCCTACCCCTAACAAAGTCTTCATTATAGCACTAACTGGATTAAGGTAGATGGGCATTGGCTTCAGTACTAGTGAAATAGGTATAACCATGAAACTATAGGGTTGGTTTCTAAGGTTAAAAGTTCTCCCATGGTTGGTAAATTTAGAGCGGGTGACATGTTTGCCTTTTCTTTAAGCTTAATAAGGGGTGTTTCTAAATAATCAAGTACATTTTCAACTAAACAACCTTTATCAACTTTGTTATCTAACCCATTCAATTCCTCATCATGCATTTGATCTCTGTAGGGTTGGGGAATTGGCAAGGGTCAATTGTAAGGCTTAAGCTCAACTTTTGTGGGACCAATGCTAGACCTTACTTGAGTTTTAGATCCCAAAATTGGTTCATCCTTAAAATTTATTTCTTCAATTGGATTTAAGCTATTTGAAAATGCTTTCCAAAATTGTAATAGCTTTTCATCTTTCATCTCAGTTTTTTCTTTTGCATATTTTCTCTCAAATTCTTATTATGCTTTCTCCTTAATATATTCCTAAAGTATTTCCATAAAACTAGATAGGTTAACCATCATAGGCTTATCTATCAAGTCATCTTCATTGTCATTAATAGCATACACCACCATTCATTTTCCTTTGATTATCCTTTAATATGCACTCCACTTCACCCAACCAACTTGGATTTACATGTTTATTAAAGCTTTTCAAATTGGCATTTTGGGTTTTGAAAAGGATACCTTGATTTTAGATGAATTATGCTAAAGATTCATCATGAGAAGAGTTCCTTTCTTAAGGAAAAAATGGTGGATCATATGGTGGATAAGAGTATTGTTGTGTGGAAGGTTAATAAGGTAGGATGTGGAATTGAATGATGACTCTTGACTATATTCCCCCATGGATAACTAGGTTGACTCTCCAAACCTTGAGTGTAAGTGTTTGGATAATAGTATGATTGGCTATCTTGACATTTATCACAATTATATTTCCCCCCATAACCATGATAGTTATCAGATGCATTTTGAATTGATGGAACATGTTTAAAATTACACTTTCTTTCAAGAACATGTATCTTTTCAACCAAAAAAACAAGTAGTGAAGTTATTATTGAGAAAAGGATTTCATCATACCTTTTGCCATTGTCGCATAGTCTATAGTTTTGAGACGGTAGTTGAATTTGGGAATATTTACAAGATGGCTCAATATAGTCCCTAAAAGTTATGGCCTTATCACAATAAGAATTAGACATATTGGAACAAAAAGAAATAATACATTAGAACATAAAAATAAAATTCTAAATTACAAAGTAGAAATAAGTGTTATTGGTATTAGTTTTTTAGCATTAATATAATCCTAGGCAATGAGGCCAAAATCTTGATTGCTCTTTTTTATAAGGCTGCAAGTACACAGGTCACTATTAAGTAATAAAAGTGGGAGTAAGGTTTGTCATTCCCTTGAGGATTCTGTTGGGATGCAAAACAAAGTATTAAAGGAAGTTCTTTCTAACTTTATATTTAGACAAATCAAAAGGTCAATTTGTTGAAAACAAAAGTGAAAGAATGGAAATTATAAATGGATAGGCTAAAGGGGGGAGAACCTAGACACTTTTAAATATGGAATGTGATATTTTAGAATTCCATTGATTTAGGAATTTTCATGAATGGGATTAATTTTTGTCTGGCCAAAATTGACTGTTGCATTTAGCCCATTATTATCGCTTTTTCTCCATGATTTGCAAGTCAAGAGTGAGATTCAGCTAAATTAAAAACCATGTCTGTGATATTTGGCTAGTCTACATTTAAAGTCCATATATAGTAGATTTGGCAAATCAATATTTAAGACAATATCTCCTTGATTTTGCACAGATCATGGGATTCTTAAGAACATCCAAGAGTCACTCTTTGCATTTAAACCATTTTTCTCATAAATTGCAATCCAAGAGAGCATTCTGTCAATTATTAAAATTCATGACTTGTGTGATTTAACAAATCATCATTAAAATGCCATATCTCATTGATTTTGCATGAATCATGGAATCCATTATGAAATCACTAAAATTATTCTTGCATTTATTCTAGTAATTGGCCGAATATTTTTTGGATCTCTATGGATTCTTGATTCTGATTCTTAATGGGCTCAATTCACCTTGCCACCTTTGCATGGGTTGTATGCGATTTGGTGTTGACGTTCAAAGTAATAAATTTCTTCATGCAAACCTGAACATCACCAATATACATCATTATTGAGCAAAATTCATGAAAATTTCAAATTTTAACTCCTAAATGATTTGTAAATATCGATAAATCCTAAGATTATCAATGATTCTCTGGAAATCCATAAAAAAAGATATAAAGTAAAAATGGGTACAATCTTAAAAGATTTTTAAAGATGAAATAAAACTCAAATTCACCTAAGTTCTAACTAGAAATTGAAAATAAATTAAAAAAAAACTTGAAACATCGCTTTAAGTATAAAAAAACTTATTAACTATAGATTATTGTGATTGATGAAATTGAGAAGCTTGATCACAGTCTTTGAATGTCAAATTTGTGCCTCAATTTAAAAGATCTCCACCAGAATACTTGATTGTTGAAATCTATCTCATGAAATTAAAGTGATGTCATTTTGTAAAAAATTACAAAGTATAAACCAATTTTGATGAAATTAATTTTAAAAAAAATTATTAAATAATTTCATTATCATTTTTAATAGTAGTTTAAAATAAAATGTACCTAAGTTATAAAATGAATTAAGCCAATGAATTAAAATTTGATTATTCAATTCATTAAAAATTTTAATTTTTATTAAAAATAATTTAATTAAATTTTCATTAATAAATATAACCTAGTAAGTACCTTTTTATTTTGCAAATTAAGAAAATCTTAACCAAGTATATAAAAAGATGATTCCATGTTATAATTTAAATATTATAGAAGAACTCATGATACTTTGTTAATTTTAATCATATGAACTGAGAGTTGTGAAGGACAGGTAGAAGTTAGAGAGAATGATTAAGTTTTCCACAATGAAGATCCTTATAAAGAGTATGTTTGAAGAAAATCATGTTTATTTTTGCTATCATTAAAGTAAATTAATTAAAAATTAATATTGAAAATTATTTGTTTATGGTGATAAAGCTTTTACATAAGTGATTTAAGATCAATATAACAAAATATTGTTAAAATTATACAATTATTGAGTATAAATCACAATAATCACTATAATTTCTAAACTGATTGCCCATATTAAATGATGGCCATGTAATTGGAACTTTGCCGGACTAATGAACAACTCCTGTATTACAATACCTATGATATTTCAGACAAAGGCTCAGAAGATGGCAATTTGGAATCCTGCCAAAAACGACAAAGAAAGGTCATGTGCATACAGTTTACCTATGAAAATTGCCCCCACTATTTGCTGCTGTTTTCCCCACTCGTGCTAACCAAAAAAGTATTGGGACAGTAATCCTCAAATAAAACAAAAAAAATTAGCTTTTGATTTTAGAGAGACAGCGTAACAAAAGGAGGAAAGTAGAAAGAGAGATAAAAAAAATAAAAAAAAGGTTGAGAGAGAAAGTGCGAAGAAAGAGAAATTGTGCTAGTGGGAATGGGCAATTTAATTTGGATTTTTTGGAAAAGGAAAGAAGAACCACTTCTTCAAAGTTTAGGCCAATAGGCAATTTAAGCCTCCTTTATCTCTCTTTCTCCTTGACTGCTTTTGTTTTTGGACTTGGTTTATGGTGTGGTTAATAGTGCTTCAACTCTAAACAATCTTCACTGCACCGGGGGTGCGCAGGATAACAAAGCATTAAGCACAGACAGAAGAAAAAAAGCTTTGGTTTTAGCAACCAAGGAAAAAAATGGGGAATGCGCATTTTAGCAGAGAAAGGATAAGAACAGGAGTGCTGCTAGTGTTTTTATGGATGCTGGGTTTGATATCGCTATCTTGCGCGGCTAGTTTAAGTGCTTCGAGGCAGAAGCTACAAGTGCAAAAGCACTTGAACCGATTGAACAAACCCGCTGTTAAAACCATCAAGGTAAACCGAGATTTTCTTTTTTCTGTCATTTTTGTTTGTTTGGTTCAAGCCTTTTTTAAGGAAGAGAATGAGCCGAAATCACGAATGCTTTTTTCTTTTTGATCTAATCTTCTGTGCCGTTGGATATTTCTTTCTTCCTTTCTTTTTCTGTTTTTTTTTTTTGGGGGGGGGGGGTGAATGCTATTATTACTTTCTTTTTTAAAAAGTAATTTCATGCTCCTCTCTACTAGACTTGATATAATTTTTGTTTCTTTAGCAATTTTGACAGCAACTAAACTGGAAATAAATGTCGATAGGCAGATAAATTTTTCTTGAAAATAAGGTTTTTGAAGCTATCATTTTAGGTTTTGATCATCTCCTTTCTTCTCCCTCCACGCACTTGTTGTGGAAATAAAGGAATTTAGTACTGAAGACATCGAGTACTAAAGGGTTTTTAATGTATTTTCTTTATCACACTTTTATATGCAGAGCCCGGATGGGGATCTTATAGATTGTATTCACATATCTCACCAGCCAGCTTTTGATCATCCTTTTCTCAAAGATCACAAAATCCAGGTTCATTCTTCAGCTGCTCTCGATTGTTTGGCTGCATTTTTCTTCCCATATAGTCGAAATTTGAGGATTGTTTTTTGTATTGTTGTATTAGATGAGGCCTAATTACCACCCAGAGGGCCTTTTCGACGAGGACAAGATCTCTGATACTGAGAAACCCAAACAACGCTCAAACCCCATAACTCAGTTGTGGCACATGAATGGTAAATGTCCCCAAGGAACCATACCCATCAGAAGAACCAAGGAAGAAGATGTTTTGAGGGCAAGCTCAGTCAAAAGGTATGGTAAGAAGAAGCTTAGGGCCATCCCTCAGCCTAGGTCTGTAGATCCTGATCTCATCAATCAAAGTGGTCATCAGGTAATTTAAATTGTCTTATTTTCTTTTTCTTTCTTTTTCCACTTAACAATCTATTTATTCTCACTTTGTTATGGGCTTTTGTATGTTTGGCTTCTTGTTGGGGGTGACTAGCATGCAATAGCATATGTGGAAGGGGATAAGTATTATGGAGCCAAAGCAACCATAAACGTATGGGAACCCAAAATACAGCAGCCTAATGAGTTCAGCTTGTCCCAGCTCTGGATTCTTGGAGGTTCTTTTGGTGAAGATCTTAATAGCATTGAAGCTGGTTGGCAGGTAATTTTAATATAATCGTCATGTCTCGAACAATAATTCAACCCAGCATGTGACATGTAACCTGGTTGCAATTTTTATATACCAATTGTTGATTTTAACTTATAAAAAGTAAATGAATATGCATGTCCGTTTAAACAGGTTAGCCCAGATCTGTATGGTGACAACAATACAAGGCTTTTCACCTACTGGACTGTAAGTCTACTATTCTGGGCATTTCATTTTTCGTATGTCTTCAAATACCCTTAGATCATTTCTATGGGCATTTATTAGGTTTTCCTCAAGTTTTTCTGGTGAATTTGTTACAGAGCGATGCATATCAAGCAACAGGCTGCTACAATCTCCTCTGCTCTGGATTCATTCAAATTAACAGTGAAATAGCAATGGGAGCTAGCATATCTCCTGTCTCTGCCTATCGGAATTCCCAATATGATATTAGTATACTTGTGTGGAAGGTAAAAGAAAAAAAAAAGGAAGACAAAGGTTTAATTATTAAGATTATGAAAACTTTGATCATAACATTCATTATGATTTAAAAATTAACCAAAGAGGAAGATGGTTGCCAAGGATGCATGTGAACATCAATGGAAATTGTCCTTTTTGAAGGAAGGTAACAATGAAATGTATTACTGTCTTATAGTAATTTCAGCAGCTAAAACAGTGTCAGCAGTTATGAATCAGAAACATCATTGTGGTTCAGAGATGTTGATAATCTTTTGTATTATCTGTCTGATGACATATTTGGACGCTTACTTTGATTTGATCGAAAGTGAATGTGCCGTTTCCATTTATTTTACTGCACAAGAAAAGCAACTCCGGCACCCTTTTCTCTTGAAATATGTCATGTGATGATGATATAGACATTTAACTGTTTGGGGAACTGCTTTGTAGGATCCTAAGGAAGGACATTGGTGGATGCAGTTTGGCAACGACTATGTGTTGGGTTATTGGCCTTCCTTCTTGTTCTCCTACTTGGCGGACAGTGCTTCCATGATTGAGTGGGGAGGTGAGGTTGTGAATTCAGAACCAGATGGTCATCATACTTCTACTCAAATGGGCAGTGGCCATTTTCCTGAAGAAGGTTTTGGCAAATCAAGTTATTTCAGGAATATACGGGTTGTTGATGACTCCAATAATCTCAAGGCTCCCAAGGAGCTTGGCACTTTCACGGAACAATCAAACTGCTATGATGTACAGACAGGGAGTAATGGGGATTGGGGCCATTACTTTTATTATGGGGGCCCTGGTAAAAACCCCAACTGTCCTTGAGGGAAACTCAGCTCTTTTCCCGTTTCGGTGTATCATTCAAACCTAGTGTACCGTCTCCTCTCTTCTGTATACCCCTTTTTAGTATTAGGTTCGCTTAGCAACATGTGATCTCTCTAGTGGGAAGTTTTGACTCCTTCGGTTTTTATTTGAAAAGATCCCCCATGTAAGTGGTGTTGGGAATTCGGCCCGGTTTCTGAAAAGCCCACAGAAGCAGGCATTTGTCACTATCTCTTTGTTATCTATTTGTTTGTTTACTCCTTTAATGGAGTGGTTTGTTAATGAAGCTGTTCTTAATCGTACTCTCGCAACAAATTGGCATAAATTATGCTTAGATCAGAACACTCCTCTTCCATGACCATGAGTTCCATTCATGGTTAACTTCAAAGGCAAATATGTTCACCCTCCGATTATTCAAAGCCAATGGCAAGTTTTTCATTCACACAAATATCCTCTACTTTGTTGAAGAGAGGAAACGAGGGATAAGAGTTATGATTGAAAGCCATTGGATGGGATGGGTTAGTGGGTCCCCCATCCTTTCCAGTCCGCCTGCTTTTAGCTCACAGAATGTACTATTTGTAAAAGCTAATTTCATGATGGGAGCAGCGTCTGCATGTGAGTGGATGACAGTGCTTTGGATCACTGATGAGTAATGAAAAGCTACACCTTTTTCTTTTGTAAAGAACCCCACTTATTCAACTTCAAAAAAGCGCCATCACAATTACGGGAGCATTAAATCCTATTGTCTATTCTTTGAAACTATGGTGAGCTCAGGTTTCTCCCAAGGATTCCTAATCAAATGAAATTATTATTTTGTTTTGGGGGTAAAAAGAGTGGAGACCGAAAGGAATATCTCAATATAAACGCTAAAGCGGAATGCATTTTTGAGGAATAAAAAGGGCATTTTTCCATTTATTTGAAAATTAGCATTCTATACATATAAAGGTGTCCTGTATGAACCCGATGTAAAAACCTTGCGACATTCCCTCACTATTGGCCAACTACCTAAAATATGTTGGGGAATCATCACTCATGTGACCTGGCTTGAATTTTGCAGTGGTTATACAATATAATATGATGGACAACCAGCTTCGCAGTTGTGACCCGCTTTGAGGCTTAAGCCCGAGCCTAGGATTCCTTCTTCTTAGCAGCCTCGCACTTCTGTTTACCAAATATGTAACAAAAGTAAATTGAAAGCTCAACTGAACGTGATTTTGAACTTGAACGTACACGAAATGATTGCTAATGAACAGGATTGATTGAATGAAATTCTCTAGGCTTAAGTATTTATGCTTTGAGGTTGGGCTTATTTCTCTAGGTCAGACTATTGAAAGGTGTGTATTTTTTTTGGGCTCACAGTTCCCTTTCATAAGCTCTTTTAGCCAACGGTTATTGCTGCTTGTACACATAACTTCATACCTTAATCAATCGTAACCGATTAAAGAAGGATAAACAGTGATAATATTTTCATGTCAAATTTTATGTCAAAATCTTCAAAGATCTAAGGAAATAAGATTGTTTTTGTTGGGAATTGATCATGTACCTGACACATACTAAAAAGGCAACGAAATTTTAAAATTTATAACTCCTAAGACAAAATCAAGTTGATAAGAAGTATATGATGTAGCATCAAATAAGCAAGAGCAAAATTTTGTTTTCCCTTTGAGTAGTTGTAAAATTGTCTTTTTCTTTTAAGTACTTTGATTTGAAATTGAACGTAGATTAGTGTTTACCCAATTTTATCTAATCATATTAAGTCTTAATCAAGACATCATCTCTTTAAATAAGTTTTTAGAAGAATTCCAAAATTTTATTATATTTTGATGGAAGACTTTTAGAGATAATTCTTAATAATACTAACAAGATATTATCTTGACCATTAAAAGTGATGAATCTCACATTGATTACTTATGTATTTTCATATGTTTCATGTTAAGCTCAACATTATCTTATTGTGTTGTCCATGGTTAGGGCTATAAATAAGACAATATCTAAGTATAACAATCCTTATATAAGATTGATTAGTTAGAGAATTAATTATGAAACTCAGAAGGTTCTATTCATATAATAAGTATTAATCAAGAATTATAATGCTTATATTTATTGCCAACATATTAAGGAACCTAATGGGTCACACAATAGAATACCATTTAGAAAGATTAAACTATATTGAAATTAAGCCAGACTTAATTGAATTAAATAAGGGAAATAATTATGGACCAAATTGCACTAATTGAAAGCTATAATTAGGGACTAGTTGAACACACAATACTTATGGGAATGAGATTGTGAATGGTCAACACCTTTATTTAAAGAAACCTATTTAAAGAGGCCAACACCTATATTTAAAGATGCTTATGCCACCATATCTCAAACACAATTAGAGCACCACTAATGACATTAAACATTAAACTCTAAGTCATTTTTTTCTCATGTATTAAGAACTCTTGAGAGGAAACAATTGAGAGAGTCAATGAAAATCATACTAGCATAGGATTTCAATTTTGCTATTGTCTTACCTTGCAAAGGTTTTTTCTCTTTATTTGTGTGGATCAGCATTAGGGGTTGTACACTTGGACAACCGTTGGTTTGTTACAACAAAACTTGAAGTTTTTGGAGAATCTTAACACCATTAACAAAGCAAAGTAAATTTTGTCCTAGCTGATTCCATGTATGTGTTTATGTTATCTTATCGATGTGATTAAAGATTGAAAAATTTTAAATTTCGCTATGTTTACATGTCTATTTTCATGATCATTCCAAACAATTTTCTTCACTCAATCAGGTCCAATGGCCTTCCAACTATAAATAGGGCCTCTCCAACACCTTTGAAGATAAGCAAGACCTATTCATCATTTTTTTCAAACTTTCAAGGGATTTCAAGTGTTTAGAGCTTTAATTATTCAAATTCATGTATCCATCCTTTTTAGTCTCTCATTATACCAAATTAGCAAATAGCCAACTCTAGAAAGTTTAATTTATTTGCAAAATTCTTTGTTAAACCTTAGAGCTTATTTGGCATCAAAGGGTGAAGCATCCTCTCGAGTGATTTAGGATTTAAAGGTTGCTACTTAAGCCTTGAAAGATAGGGATTTAGAGGTTGTTACACGATTGATGCTTTTAGCCTTAAGTGCATAGATCACATTGAAGTAATAAAGTCTTAGTAAAGTTATTGTTCCCTCAAGGATTACGTTGGGATGCAAAGCTATGTATCGAAGGAGATTCTTTCTAACTTTATATTTAAATAGATAAAAAAGTTGACTGATTGTAATTGAAATAAAGTATTGAAAATGTGACAACTAAATGCCACATTAACTAATGGTCACTTAGTAGCTCTAAAGGCAGAATGATTATGCAAGAAAATAAAAGAAAATAGAAAAGCTTGCAAAATATTCAATATTGCTAATTGTAAAGAAAGAATAAAGCCAAGATATGAAAGCTTGTAAAGAAAAGAAGAGTGTACGTATAAATAGAGAAAAAGATATTTATAATGAAAATAGAAAGAGAACTTGTATTAAGAAAGAGTTGTAGAAAACAAAACTATGGTTAGTCTGTCATACAAACCAAGATTTACAAAAGAATTAGAAAAGATTTAGGCTAGTTTGTCACCCTAGCCAAATGTAAATGAAAAGAAAAGAACCTAAAAAACTAAAGAGAACCTAAACTAAAGAGAGAAGAATGGAAGAAGAGATCACTTTCAAGAGAAATGCATGACTTATTTATAGTACAATGCTTGGCCATAGGTAAGATGAACCTATATACTTTTAACTTTAGAATGTGATCTTGAATTCAATCAGTGTCCCATTGATTGAGGAATCTCCATAAATGTGATTGATCTTAATTAGACAATTTTTGCTCTTGCCTTCAATACTTATGCCACATTTTCTTTAAACCAACATAATTTGCAATTCAAGAAAGAGATTTAACCAAATATTAAAAGCCATGTTTAGGGGATTTAGCAAATCAACAATTAAAAACCATATCTCCTTGATTTTGCACTAATCATGGGATTTTTTAGAATCTATAAAAATCACTCACGCATTCCATTTTAGCTTTGGTCGAATATCATTTGGTTACTATAGGTTTCTTGGTTTATGATAGGTTGGACATGATTACCACCTTTGCATGGATCACTCATCTTTGCATGCATGGCGTCATATTATCTCATTCGCATTGTTTACATGGATTTCAACATTTATGTTCAAAGTAATTAATTTCTTCATGCAAACCTGAATATCACCAATTTACATCTTTATGAACAAAATTCATGAAAATTTTCAAAATTTTAACTCTCAAATGATATGTAAATAGCTATAAATTATAAGGTTATAACTACCATAGCCTTAAAAGATAGCAAGTTAAAAGGTTATACCATAGCCTTGTATGGTAGGTTTTAGAGGTCATACATTGGCCTTGAAAGTTAAGGTTTTAGAGGTTATACCGTGGCCTTAAAAGTTAGTGATTGTAAAGGTTATACCTAAGCCTAGAAAATGTAGCTTGTAAAGATTCAAAAGTAATATTAGATTAGACTTCATAACAAAAGGAAACCAAGGGAAAGTATGTAGGAGCCTTTAGTAAAGCCAAATCTCTATAAATCATTGTATTTGAATTCTCTATCCCTTATCATCTATTTAATTTTAAATTCATTTGTGTTTAAATTATATATATTTATTGAATTGTTATTTTTCCCCCTTAAATTTATTCAGTTTTCATTTTGAAAAATTATTTGAATTCAATCAATTCACCACCCTCTTAGATTACTTATTTATATTTGGGTTAACATTTGGTATTAGAGCCTGAACTTTATTTTGTAGGTTTAATAACTTTAAAGTGTTCTTATGGTTTAAAGTTGTTTCCAAGATGGTGAGAAAGTCCATAAAACCTTAAAGAATTGAAAAATATGAGTTCTGGTAATGAAAGATAAGGATGAGGGTGTTCATGATGGCATACGATATTAGTCCACAAAGTTGAAGGAATTTTATTATTTTTTTTTATTTTAATTTTTTTTACAAAAAACTAAACTTGAAAATCTTATTAATGATAGGACCAAGATACATTTAGTTATGAAAGTTCACAGATCATTATGCTTTAAAGCTTGGAGGATGATGAGTTTAGGAAAGTATGACTTTAGTGCATAAGCTCAAAAGGTTAGCAAGGAATTTTGTATGTGGAATAATAGATGGTAAGAAATATGATATGAGGTGTCAATAACGGCCTTCTATCCTTAAAATAATAGACAAGTGAATTGTCTTCTTTAATTCTCCAAATGCATATTAGTGGAGATATCCTTGACAATGGTTAT